CAGGCGCCCGCCACAACGCCTGGCTATTTTTTGGTTGCAGCCATGATTGTTGTTTGGTGGGCCCGGGCTGAATTCGAACCCACTACCTTACGTGTATGTGGCTGGTGCCTTAGCCACTTGAGCCACAGGTGCTGAACCCACAGTGGACTTTTAATCAAAAGTCTTCCTAAACCAAATACCTACTCCAGTTTCTCCTTGAAATTGCTCAGCTATTTAGAGCCCTTAAAAAGCCTTTTGCCTCTTCTATTTTTACAAGGTTTTGATTCACAATTCAAGAAAGAAAAACGGAGTCTTGTTAGTATCCACGTCCTTAATGTTTTCCTACCAGAGGCTCTCCTGTGGTGCAGATGGTGTTCTTTTCTTGTGCATAGATGGTTCTCAGCCAGGGGCATGAAGATTCGGGGCACTGTAACTTACCCTCATGGGAATTCTGGCTTGCCCCTCAGCTTGGCAGAGGGCCAAGTCTGGCTAATTAGAGTTGTTTATAGTATCTGCTAATTCTTTGCATAATGACTTGGCTTTTCTTATTCTTTTATAATGAGTGAGACTTTGGCCTTCTTTAAGCTTTTTGGGCTCTTTCTGTCTAAGGGGTGATCCTAAGTTGCACATGAGTATTAATTGAGCCATCTGTATTCTGTAGGCTGAATAGATTTAGGGTCACAGGAGTTTGGCTTGGCATACTCTTGTCTTTTCTAGCTTTGGAGTACTAACCGGCTGGAGTATGTTAGAAGATAATTGGGAAGTTTATTCACTTTTCATATTAGTCTTTTATTTTATTTATTTATTTTTTTGAGACAGAGTCTGATTTTGTCACCCTCAGTAGACTGCCATGGCGTCACAGCTCACAGCAACCTCAAACTCTTAGGCTTAAGCTGTTCTCTTGCCTCAGCTTCCCAATATTAGTCTTTTAAGCAGTTGAATGGCTCAACCCATTTAATTGTATGATGTGAACACTTAGCAAGTCTTAAATTTTAATTTTAGTCATTACCTCGTGTTGCCTGCATTTATGTTTTCTAAGTCTGTAGACTGTTGATGAGGGCTTTTGTATTTCATACTACTCATTGATTTCAGTCTTTTTCTCCTTTTAGCCATGTTTCCTGAGAGACTGGGAGTTGCAGGTACACTTCAAAATCCATGGACAAGGAAAGAAGAATTTGCATGGGGATGGCTTGGCAATCTGGTACACAAAGGATCGCATGCAGCCAGGTATTGGGACTGTGGGTTGTTCTTGAGTGGATGTGACAGGCCTGCATTTTCTTGTGACTTCTTTTTCTTCCCCACAACACCAGAAGTTTTTCCTTTCCTTTGATGTCTGTGGATCAACCTTGGCCTGTCTAGTCTCTAGAATGGGGTCTGAATCTTAATAAGCAGCTGAACTTGACTCATCCTAGAGTGATTCCTTCCTTGTTAGTTCCTTCTGAGTTTCCCTGTGAAACTACCTGGCCCATTGGCTGGTTGAAAGCACTGGCTCTCCTGAACACTGATGATTTCTTTTGGTGATGTACAGTGAATTGTCTCAGCACTGCTGAGTCAGAGAAGAGTTATCTATTTTTCCTTATTGTATAGGAGCCATTGCTCCATGTAGGTGGCAGGCTCAACCTTATTTTACCTGATCTCTTTTGCAATAAGAAGTAGAACTTGGGAATTCAGTTCTCTCTTGGGGGCATAATCTTCACCAAGTGTTTGTGAAGCAGAATTCTATAGGGGCACCTTAGCAACCAGTTTGGATCGAGGAGCTACCATAGTGCTAAATCAGGTTATAGCAGCCTTTTTTCTCTCCCCTGCCTTCAGCAACAAACAACTGTAACTGGCACTTGTTATAGGCTATGCACTTTGCTGGATACTTTTACATATGTTTTCTCATCTCATGAGTAGCCTGGGAATCATTTGAATTTCACTTTTTTCTCTATCATAGTGATATGTATTTCCTTTATCAACTCTTGGCTTTATTTCATTGTTCATCGTCTGTTCTCTCTCTCTAGGGCCTGTGTTTGGAAACATGGACAAATTTGTGGGGCTGGGAGTATTTATAGACACCTACCCCAATGAGGAGAAGCAGCAAGAGGTAATGGCAAGTGTCAGAGCTTAGGTCAGCTGCACTGACATTATAGTTCTTTGCCTCAGGAATTTTGTACAGGAGGGAACAGAGGGCATAGAAAGTGAGGGGTTCTTCATCTATTGAACTTCAAAAGTTAATGTCTTTGTCAGTGTTTTTTTAGAGAGCACTGTTCATGATTACACAGTCCTTTAGGAATAGCTGTTGTGAACAGGGGCTTTTTCTTTAGTGTTAATAATGCTTTTTCTCATGCACATTAGGTAGCCACTGGAATTGAGCATGCTTGGCTGTTCAGTGTTTGGCTGCTGGACCAGCACCAGCGCAAGCTAAATTTATGTAACTCAGCTCTCTTGACCTTTAATCCATCACCACTATGCTTTCCTCTATAGCCTGCTCACCCTTTACAGCATCTTATTCTTTCTCTTCGTAGGCCTGAATAGCAGTTCTCTTCACTTATAGGAAAGATTATACTTAGAAGGAAATTATAGGTGGGTGCTGCAGCATGTGCTGTAGTCTAGTCTGCTTGGGAGGCTGAGTCAGGAGGATTGTTTGAGTCTAGTCTTAGGTAAAATAGTGAGATCCTGTCCCTTACGAAAGAAAAAGGAGGTGGTGCCTATCTCTCATTGGGTAGGGCCCCAGCCCCGGCCCCGGCCAAATTGCAACAAAAAAATAGCTGGGCAGGCTCAGCGCCTGTGGCTCAAGTGGCTAAGGTGCAAGCCACATATACCTGAGCTGGTGGGTTCGAATCCAGCCCGGGCCTGCCAAACAACAATGATGGCTGCAACCAAAAAATAGCCAGGCATTGTAGCAGGTGGCTATAGTCCCAGCTACTTGGGAGGCAGAGGCATGAGAATCACTTGAGCCC